AAGAGTTTTGGCACTTATCCCTCCCTCCAGTATTTCCCTGGGGAGAAATGGACAATGCACCTGCAATATTGCCAAAGGGATTTGTATGGTGGTTTTTATGTAGACAAAAATATAATGTTAAAGGCTTGAAAAACCCTATTGGTTGGGCTGGATTGGTTGGGCTGCTACAATCTTTTTCTCATGGTTCCAATCAACAGAAGCATAGGGCAGGTGAGTTTGGTCCGGGTTTTACACCTGGACTCCTTTCTGTGAAGGTTAAATTGTGAAATCATATGTCTTTGGAACAGATAAGGATTCACAGGAATTTCTTGTCTACTCAGTTATTCCATCTAACTTCCCCATCATTTCCACCAGGACTTTTTATAAGAATAAACAAACAAAACCCACCAATGTTGAAGTACTGATATAGGCATGCTATGGAAACCTTCACTACCCTGCTGAAAGCCCAGATTTCTAGTCCAACAATTGAGCACTACTGTTTGCTTTCTCCTTGTCCTGAGAACTGTGATAACAACAATTCAAAGGCTTTCCTAAATGTTCCCTGCAGCACAGTCATATAGCAGGACAAATGCAATAACTACAACTACAAAGATGAACACAGTGGGGCTTTTTGCAAGGCAAAAAAGCAAAGGTGGAAAAACTGCCTTCTTCAAAGCTGATGCCTGTGCTCTGAGGAGAAAGTGGATGATTAAACTGTATGCATTGAAAACATTCTTCTAATTATCTCCTTATCTCATTTCCTTGAACAGCACATAAAATAGCCAGGTCAACTTTGAGTGTTGCCTAGTACTGCTGAATCACTGGACTAACTGACAGTTTTTATCCCCCTGCAGGATACAAGGAGAAGCGAAAAAGGGAAAGAACCACAGTTAAATTGACAGCTCGCATCTTTATCTGGACATCCAAATTGATTGTTTCTTCAGCTTCTTTGGCAACTCTGAGGGGTAGTAGCAATTCAGAGCAAGCCAGGCAGCAGCTGTTTAGAAGATAAGCACCTCTGAAGCATTTTGCATTCGTCATCTTGTTTATGGTCTGTATGACAAGATAAACCCAGCAGGCTTTGAAATGGATGCTGCCGTTTCATCTTAAGCAGGCAGCACTCTGGGAAGCATTGCTAAAGATCCCAATTTTTCAGTCACATGCACTCACATTTCATGTTAAGGATCTTACATCATTTCAACGGCATCACAATCTGCATACTACACAGGGATGAGGCATTTCCTTCTTGTACATATGCAAGTAGCCTTTGTGCTACTTTGGAGGCAAACTGAAGTGATATCCAGACACAATGGGGTGATGTTGGTGCATAACCCCAATGCCCTGGAGGAAGCTAGGCTGCCTGCAAGTGGGGGTGCTCTCAGAACAAGTGGGGGTGCTCTCAGACTCTCTGTCTCACTTCTGCCTAACTTTAGTGTTTTTAGAAAGTAGGTGGGAATTGTGCCTAGCAAGGTTTCTGATTGGCCACTGGAGATTTGATTGGCTGTGCAGATTTTCAAAAATGTTGCTTTGGCAGCAGCTGCCACCACAGAACAAGGATTTTCACTGTAAGCTGCATTTTGTGGCTGGCCATGCCTCCCGTGGCAGCCATTTTGTGGTTGTGCCTACCACACTGTGTCAGAATTCCAAAGGTGTGCACAGGCTCGAAAAGGCTTTACAGATCCCTGCTTTACAGAAAGGCTTAAAGGGCTCAGAAATACTTTTGTGGTTTCCTAGCAACCTACACAATGGCAATTGAGACCAACTAAGTAGCATTTTTTTTAAGCTACAGGCATTGTTTTTATTACTTTGGGGAGTTTTAATCCCCCAATTTTTTTTTTTTTGTTAAATTTCAGGGTTTTTTGCAAATTTGGGATTCCCTTCACTAAATTTTCACCCTCCATAAAAATCTTGCTCAACAGAATGTGGCATAAGCAACTTACTGGGCTCTCATAATTCCAGACAACTTATTCAATTGAATGGTAAGTGAACACCCACTCTATAATGATGCAGCGGACAAGTGGCCTTTGGCTTTTTGTTAGTGAGAAATACAGAATAACCTCAACCACTACTACATAGGCACTTCTCACCAGCAGAGGGTGCCCATGTGTTGAAAACCATGATTGCACAGCATGGGTCCCACTCTCAAAGGATTGCAGCAGACAAGAGTAACCTGAGCAATATTTATACAATGATATCTTATCCAAGCTCATCCTGCGTATAGCTGGTATGGTAGCATTCAGTGTATACCTGGTATGGTAGCATTCCGCTATATAGAAACTTAAGTAATTCATAACTGCTTAAGTGTATAGAAGAATGTGAAATGATAATAGTGAGAAAACTGCACAATTAAGAGCAAAGCAGTTTGTGTTTCATCCTCTTCAGGGTAAATTGATGTTTATTAAAGCAGGCCTGAGGTTTCTCATATTTTTCAAAAAGGGAGATATCATAACATTATTGGCTCTTGTTTACATCGCAAATTCCTTGTGTCTTGAGAATGAGAGGTTTGTTGCCAAATCTTTATTTCTTTTTAATTAAAAAAAACCCCTCCAAACAAAACCTTTTCACAGCCTTCTAGGGAATGAGAATTATGAGAATGAGAATTATGGTTCTCCAAAATCTTTGAGGGCAAATTATTTTTGCATGAAATAACTGTTGTGGGCAATAATTTGTTGTTTGTGGTAGGGTGCGCTTCCTCAAGCTATTGCTTTCTGTTGCAAGGATATTGCACTTAGCCAGCAAGACTG